TGCTGCTGCTCCCCTCCGACACCTGGTGCAGAATGTGGAGGTCACCATGGTCCCTGGCCCTTCCCCTCTCCCTCCTTCTCTCTGGGGGCCTCAACAGCACGAAAAGCACGTCCGCTGGAGCCATATTCCTGGGTTCAGATTCAGGCTCCTACACCTGCTCCGTGCATGACCTCGAGCAGCCTTTCAACCTCCCCTCCAGGACAAGTCCGCCCTCTTAGGTTTCTTCCGAGGATCAAATGAGATGAGGCCATGTAAGGCCCTCCCATGACACTCAAACATTTGCTTCCATGTATTCCTCCCCCCGTCCCCCCAATTTGTATAGACTCGGGGATAAGGTGATTCCAAAAGTCAAAGACCTACCAGGACATTTCGGGGAAATGCCCTCTTGCCCGTGGCCTCGATCTTACCTGCTGTGAAAGGGGTTGAAGATGGTTCAAGGCACCTTGCTGGCTGGGCCTGAGCCTTGGTGATTCATTCCAAAGGCTCCACCTCCTGCCCTGGCAGCTGGTTGAGAGGGACCACTCTCAGCCCTGACCTTTCCCACACACCCCCTTTGTAGCAGATTTCCCCAACACCCCTGCTGTCACCATGGCGATGAGCCGAATCCCCCATCCTGCTGGCCGCCCGCAGTTCCCCTTGCTAGGGGAAAGGCCGCGGGAGCCGCTGATAGGCAAGGTGTCAAAGCCAATTGGTGTGACGGACTTGGGGAAAACAGCTTGTGAGGGCCAATTCCCCATAGGACGCCAGGAAGCCCTCAGCCCAAGGCAGAGTGTTTACGGGCATAATTGATAGAATAATCACTAACACCCAATACAACGGCGGACACATTCTGAACATCATAACCTTCGGGAGGCAGTATTCAATTTTCTCCGTCTCCCAGCCACCAAACTAGCCAGCTGACGGACGGCGAGATACCAACAGTTCTCGAGGAACAAGAGAAAGCCAGGGTCGTTTCTCAGTGCACAGGCTGTTTGCCAAACGGCCCGGTGGCTCCCACCCCTCCCCCAGCACCCCGGTGCTCCCTCCTGGCAGCAGAGAACCTCCGGACAGCGATTCACTCAATGGACAAAGCACCCGGCCAAGTCAGGATCTTCGTCTGCACCGGGGTGCATTAATAAAAGCCTAGTGGTGTGTGTGTGTGTGTGTGTGTGTGTGTGTGGCAGGGTGGGGGGCGGGGTGGAGGATGGGTGTTAGTTGCAGTATAAGGCTCCCTGGGGCTCCTCTCAGGTCCACATACCTACTCCAGCCTGGACCTCTCCCTCTCTTGCAAAACCAGACCAAGCCTTCAGCTCCTGGCACCCGGCAATGTCCTGCCCCCTATTGTGCGAATACTTATGACAGTGGCTCCCAAACTCCAGGCTGCAGGAGAATCATCTGGGAAGTTTACTAAAATGCAGGTTCCAGGGTTCCATAAACAATCATTTTGGCCAATGGGCCTGGGGAAACCCCGGGTCTGCATTTAATAAACTCTCTGGGCGATTCCAAGGCAGGGGGTCTGCAAAGATCTTCACAAAGACCCCCTCCCCCTCCCGCTGGACCCCCGCCTTGAGCAAGCTCTGGAAAGATTATGGAGGAGTCCAGCCCAGCTGACTTTGTCTAACTTGCCCGTGGCCTCAGCAAGATACTGTCATTTTTCTGGTTTCTCTTGGGGGAACCCACTGCCTTGCCAGTCCTCTAGGGAGCTGGAGGGGGAGGGGTGCTTGGTAGGGACTGTGCAGGGGAACAAGTCTCATCACATAACCTGCTAAGCCCACCTCAAGGCTGTCCTGAAGCAGGCAGGCCCAGAACGGCCGGGCACACCTTTAACCGAGGCACAGCCCTCCAGCTCTCTGCACAGACTCAGCGACCTTGGGCAAGTCACTGGTCCTCTCTGAACCTCAGGGTCCTCTTCTGTCCAGCACCAGCCTTCCGTGAAGAATGTCAGCATTAGTGACTTCACACTGGCAGGATCTGGCAGCCACTAGCAGACAGTAGGTGTTTCATAAGCGTTAGTTCCCTTTCCTCCCTCCCGTACTGTGCTGATGGCAGTGAGCTAACCCTCTTTAATAAGGAAAAATCAAGATAGCTGCTATTTACTGAGCAGACATGGATGGACGGACCAGCCTCCGGAGCCCTGACGTCTCCCTAAAAGGCATAACCTTGCGTTCCCCAATTCATTCTTCATGCCTTCCAAACGCTCTCTGCGAAGTGGGCTGAAGGGAGGCCACAAGGTGGGAAGCGAGACAGATGTCCTTGAGGACCCGTCTGACCACGGGCTCTCCCTGTGACAAGCCCCGGGCCGGGCAGGCGGAAGGCGTTAGCTGGGCTGCCGGGCTCAGCTCAGATTGAGCTGGAGCGGTTAGCGGCCAGCAAGCAGTCGGAGTCCATGGGCTTCTCCCCCGGAGCCCCTGCTTGCAGCCTCCACCCCCCCACCCCAGGCACGGAGACACCTTCCTAACCCGGCCACACTTCCTGAATCAGCTGAGGACACGCAGAGCCCAGGAATAATGAAACGATCAGGCTCCAATCTGCTAAACAGCAATTTCTGGGCTTTTTCAGCACACACAGCTTTTATCAAATTGGTATTCTCCTCCTGAACACAAATGGCTTATTAGACATGACCCACTTATTCACCGCGTCTCGCTATCATTAATAACAGTTTCTTTTTGTGATTAAGTGAGTGGCTCCAAGCCCTTCCTGTGGTGGCGGGCTCCCCGGCGGCCACGACTTGGTGACTTTGAACCTGGCGATGCTGGGGAAAGGCAGTCCGGCCCCGCGGAGTTGCCTGGCCTCCTCGTTTCTTGAGAGACAAAAGGAGCCCCAAAGGGGTGACTCACTTGCCCAGAGCCACATCGGCAGTGTGTGAGAAAAGTCCGGTTCCGCAGCAGTCTGCCGCGTCCTTTCCATCTACAGCCCCCACCGCCCCCCTGCTCTGGGCCACATAGCTGACCTTTCCAGGGTTCAGAGGGACATTACAGCTGGTGGACAGAGCTGTGCCCCTAAGCACACCTGGCACCAGTGGTCGGTGGAAAGTGCCACGCAAAGGACAAACCCCGCTCCCCTATAGGGGACCACCTCTGGACTCAGAGTGAGAGTGGCCCCCAGGTCCTCGGGGTCTGGTCCTCAGATCCCTCTCGGAACTGCAAACTCAGGAAAGCCCTTCCTTGGAAAACCCTCCCAGAGTTAAGTTCCAACCTTGCCGAGGAAATGAGCGGAGCGAGGAGGGGAGCGGAAGGAGGAATTCCCAGTTTCCCTTGAACGGGAGGGAATCTGACAGGGAGATGAATGTCCTGGAAAAAAGCGCTGTCTTTTCCGACAGACCCTGGGGCCAGTCCCAGCTCAGCCACTCATTCACTGTGTGACCTTGGGCAAGTCCCGTCTCCTCTCTTGGCTTCTCCGTCTGTAAATTGAGGGTCAGAATAACAGTCCTCCTATTTACCATTGCTCCAAACAGATCGGTGGAAATTAGATGAGGGATGTGAAGGGTGCATAAATGATACACAGAGCAGTCACTATCAAACCTGGTAAAGCAGGGAGGGTGCAGGGAATCATAGTAGTCCAAAAAGAGAGACCCCAAGAAGAGCTTTGGAAGCCCCCCACACCCTCTGGAGAACCCCACTCCTGCGTCCCACCCCAGTCCAGCCAAAGCTGTCTTTCATTAGCTATCCCCACCCCCACGCCCTCACCCCTGTCCCAGAGCTTACTCTTCCCCATAAGAATAAATCACCCAAATCTCTGCCTTTTGTGCAAACCTCCCCCCTCCACCCCCGACCCGAGCCCTGAGCATGCAGTGCCCAGCACGGATGCCGCAGCTTCCCCCACCAGATTGGGGGCCTCTGCAGGGAAGGAATGGATGGAGGAAGGGTCTCCATTTTACCTGCGCCCTGCTGGCCCCATACCACAGCCTGCCTCGCGGGGGACAGGGGCCCCACAGCTGCCGCCTTAGATGATCTAACTCTGCTGCCAACTTGGATTCCTCTGGGGCTAGAATGAGCTCTGACACTTGGGCAACTAGTGCTGGGAATGCTTGCTCCCCAGCTCCCGCGGCTGGAGTTGATTTCCCACATTTCAGTCCTCCGAGGCAGAGGATAATGGTGAGCCGTGGTACCCTATAGAGGGATGGCAGGGCTTCCTGCCCACCCCCAGAGGCAGACAAAAACATCTGGTTTCCTTTTTCCTCTTCTATGCCTTTGGCTGGAAGCAGCGATCCCAACTATTCCAGTGTCTTTGAGGGGATCCCACCAAGCCTCGGTCCCTGGGATACACCCACCCCACAGGGGCAGATGCAGCCCAGGCTACCAGTTCACTAGAGGCAGAGTCTCCCTCCCCCCACCCCCCAGCTTTCCCAGTGGCATAAGGGACAAGTGAAGAGAGGGAGGGGGCAAGGGCAGCTGTGGGGGTACACCCACAAAGGGGAAAGGCAGATGGGCAGGAGAGGTGGATGAGCCAAGTGTGTTCACAAGTGTGTATGTGCATTTGCCAGAATGTCTGCGGGCCGGCAGGCAAGAGTTGTGCAGAGTGTGTGAGCCGGAATGCCAGCTGGCAGGGTGTGAGCCTGACACCACAGTGCCTGATGTGTGTGTGTGTGTAGTGGGCATAAGTGTGAGTGCTTATGAGTGAGGAGGGGAACTGAAAAGGTGTCTGGAGATGTGCGAGGGTAGGTGCTGTGAGTGTGAGAAAGCAGTGAGTGTGGCTCTGAGCGTGCTCGTGGCTGTGCATCGCGGAGATCGTGGAGGTGTGTGTATCAGCGAGAGTGGGTGTGGGGTGGGGGGGAGGAAGGGGCTCTCCGTGGGAGCCGGATCCCGGGTGCGCACGGGGTGCCCCCTCCTCTGCAGGAATAGCCGGGAGTGCGGAAGTGGGGGGGGGGGGTAGGGAGGCAGGTCGGTGGACCCGGCAGAGGGCGCTTGGGACTCCCGCCACTGGCCAGCGCAGGTTCGAGCCCGGGGAGCGCCAAGTTGGAGCGCGCAGCCAGGGTGGGGTTCGGTGGGGGAAGTCCGCGGGTGAGGCGGCGGTGAACTCACCGTGGCCGGAGACGTGGTTGTCCCAGGGCGCGTGGCCGGCGGGCCGCGTGGCGCCGCCGAGTTGCAGGAAAAGTGCCAGGTAGTGGAGGGCGCCCAGCGCCACCGCGAGCGGGGCTCCCATGGTGCGCGCTCGGGCCAGGGGCGCCGCCGCCTCCTCACATCGGGGCTCCGGAGACCGCAGACCCAGGGCCCGCCGTCCCCTGCCGGGTGCGGCCTGGCTGCCCGGCTGCGACCTCTGCCCCTCGCCCGCTGAACCCGACCCGACCCGGCTCCAGCCCTCGCCCGGCCCCGGCCCAGCCCCAGCTGCTGGCAGCGAGAGCACGCCCAGCCGGCTGCCTCCGACTGCGGGACTCTTCCCTTCCGCGGAAGGCCACCGTGCGCGGCTCGCCGCCGCACCCCCTCCTTCCCACTCCTCCCTCCCGCCCCGAGGAGGCAGGCGGCGGCGGAGGGATCTGCGGCTTGATTTATCATCAAAGTTTTGCCCAGGCTGGGATTTTTAAAGCGGTACCCTCAACTTTCCCCGCCCCAGAGCACAGGTAGGGGGCGGGATGGGGTGGAGGAAGGCACCCCAGAGACCCGGTTCCCTCAAAACATAAAACCGGATCCCCGATTCTGGCTTCAGAAGCAGAAATACTATCCAGCGGGATGAGAAAGGAAACCAATCGACCTGCCGCCAGATCCAAAGCGCACAGGGACTCCACAACTTTGCTAGCAGGACGGTGCCTGGTGGTGGTGGTAGGGGGGTGGGGGTTGGGAGGTTGGGGGCAGGTCGGGGTGGAAGTGACAGCGAGGAAGGGTAGAAATCAGGGCCAGAGCCCAAGAGACCTGAGGATAGTCCTGCCGCAGCCTTTGGAATCGTGTGTGATCATGTTCTGGTGTCCACCCCTGTCTGAATCTCTTGATCTTCCTCTGAGAAATGGAAATAATAGCTAGAGGACGTTGGTGAGGATTTATGAAAACGTGTGTCTAAAGCACTTAGCATAATGCCACCGTCATGGCAAGAGCTCAATATTTATTATTGTTGTTGTTCCCCTCTCTGGAACTCAGTTTTCCTGTCTGTAGAATGGGAGTGAGGTAGGCCAGCTGCTGCGGCTCCTTCTAGTGGATTGGATCACTCCTTTCTGGATTCCAGAGCACCCTTCTTAGAACGACTGGCCTAATGGAATATTAGGGCAGGGAGAGGGGATAGCTAGCGAAACCACTCTCATCAAACAAGAGCAGGAATCCAACTAGATCCTCTCATCCCTTCCTTGGCCGGTTTACTGGGGCTGTTGGGAGAGACTTTCAGTACAGACACATGGGTGGACTCATGGCCCCATCTAAAAGATGAGGAAGCACATTAAATTAGAGAAGTGTTTTCTCCGAGATCCTACAGTGAGTCTGGGGCGAGGTAGGTCCCTCCTTCGCTCTCATCCTTGGTCCATTTCCTGGCCGCTCTGCTGAGGGTTCAGCACCACGGAGGAGGATAGCGCCAACCCAGCAACCAGCCTTTAGGCCTCGCGGACTGAACTGCGCCTCCGCTGGCTCTTAGATGCGAGAGTTCAGCACCGTGGACAGAGCTATCGATGTCCCCAGGAGCCCTCGCGGAGTTCAGCACCGCGGACGCCCCGCTCTCCCTTCCAGATCACAGGCGTATCCTGTGGATAGCATTGTAGACAGCGCCCCAAGTTTGAGAATGGGGTTAGAGCCCTGGGGACTGCTCCCCAACGCTCTGTCTTTACTCTGCCCTCTCACTCTCCTAATATTATGGCGGGCAGACACCCGATGGGGCCCGTGGCCGACAGCAAATATCCATTTCATTCAAAATTAGCCAGCCTCCTGAAGTGTCGAGCACTTACAAGTAATGTTTCAACACAACTGACAGCCCCTATAGGACCAGCGGCGCCGCTCTGTTTCAGCACCATAGACAGGTCCTGGCCTGTTTAACCAGCTTCTGGGGCCCGCATTCACCAGAGCAAATGGTCGGTTTTGTTGTTGTTTGTTTTTCCGAATTGATTTACTAATCGCTTCCTTCCCACACAGAAGTGTCATGGATTCTACAAAAGCGTGGTTTTTTTTTCATTCATTAATTCATTTGAGCCCCACTCCCAATGAAAAGGACTCCACCGCCCCTATTATTAATATAAGAATCTTGAAGATCACGTAGCAGTGTGAGACTGATACCTAGGACCCTTTTAGTTCCTGTCTGAGGAGAATGTGGTGGCAAAACTGGCGCGCAAATTCAGGGCATTCTTCTCACAAACCACAGATTGGGAGTGAGGGGGTGGCGTCAAGAAAGAAGACAGGAAGAGAGAGGAGATTAGAAGAGAGAAGAGAAAACAAGTGATTGCCTGGGGGCTGCAGCGGAAGGAGGCCCGGGAACACACTGCTGCTTTGCCAGGAACCCACTTGCTGACCTTCTGGCGTCCTTTCTCCTCATAGTCTGGGACAGGGCTGAACCCAGTAACCTCTAAGATTCCTTCAAGGACAGACCTCCAGGGATTTTATGACTTTGAAAAGGTTTGTGCTGTAATGGCTTGGCTCAAGCCCCTCCAATGGCCTTGTTTCTTTGAGAAATCCTGGCTTCTTTAGTTTGCATCCAAGGTTCCAGCCTCACCTCCTGCATATACCTCTGCTCCAGGCACAATTCCCTCCATGTTCCCTTCCTGAACATGTCCTAACTTCAGCATGTCCTTACCCTTCCTAGTGTTTCCCCTCTGCTTGCATGCATGCCTTCTCTCCTATCTAGCTGAGTCTCCGTTGGCCACGGACCAGTCTGAGTCTTTCACAGAAAGTAATTCCTGTTGCCTTCTCCTAGTCTCTGAGCCTCTATGAGCCCATCACTGTGTACCCAGCACTATGCTAAGAACTTCAAAACATCCAGGTCATCTAGAGTAGAACAGTGTGATTATAAGTGTGGACTCTGTTTTTTGTTTTGTTTGTTTTTTAAAAAATATATTTTATTGATTTTTAACAGAGAGGAAGGGAAAGGGATAGAGAGCTAGAAACGTGGATGAGAGAGAAACATCAGTCAGCTGCCTCCTGCACACCGCCCGCCGGGGATGTGCCCGCAACCAATGTACATGCCCTTGACTGGAATTGAACCCGGGACCCTTCAGTCCTCAGACAGATGCTCTACCACTGAGCCAAACCGGCTTTGGCTGGACTCTAGTTTTAAAGCTTGCCACCTGCTAGCCATGTGACCTTAGACAAGTTACTTAGCCTTTCTGTGCCTGAGCTTCTCATCTGTAAAACAGATAATAATGCCTCTGTCACATAATTATTGTGAATTAAAATGACTTGCTACATGGAAAGGTTTTAGAACAGCCTGACACATAGAAAATCCATGATACATGTTGGCTATTATTATTAATAGAAAAGGAAACATGCTCAGAGAGGTTAAGAATCTTGTCTAATGTCACACAGCAAGCCAGGTGTAGAGCCATAATATGTTTGATTGCAGGGCCCATGCTCTTCGGCCTAATACCTAAGCACGTCTAATTCCATGTACCCTCTTTGCAGCTTAGGAAATTAAGACCCAGAGAGGATGAGTGAATTCCTCAGAGTTACACAGCCAACCACAACAAAACTAGATCCAAGTCCTCTGTCTCCCAGTTTGCGGCTCCCCCGCTGTACCATTCTGTCCCATTTGCATTTCCTACAGCACCTAAATTGCTCTCCACAGTTTATAGATCACATGCACATCCACGATCCAGCACAGGCTGCACAACGAGGTGGGGCAGAGGCTGGATGTGACAGGATGCATCGTCGGCCCGTATTCCTCCCCTGTGTCCTCCTGTCTCTTTTCTGCTTCACTGATCCGAGTGCCAACTGCAGGCACTGTGTGCGGAAGCGGGGAGCCTAGTGAAGGCTGGTGGTAAACACAGACTTTCCCGGAAAATAGGCTCTGGGAATTCACCAGAGTGGGTGACTTCTGTCACTCATCTCACTCGGGGAACACTCCAGGGGATAGTAAGCTTCCCATCCCCGGAGGCAGTTAAACAAGCATCCCTTGGTCTGGCGGAGACCAGGAGGCAAATATCACGGCTGTTTCCATTACCCAGATGAAGCTCAGAAGGAGAACATCATGCCAAGCATTTCTGTCGGGAATGATGATCTTTTAAAAGTTCCCCCCAAGCAGGGGCTCTCGCACTGTGTCCCCTCCTTGGACCCACGCTCCCTGGAGAGCCCGCACCCTCCCCTGACTCAGGGAGGCCACCCTCCCTTCCCTCCTTGAGAGGTGTCACTTGAGCGCCACGGCTCTGTCAGTGGTAACAGCCGTAAGATTTGTCCTTTTAATCCAGAATCAATAGCAAATTTCATTTAAAAATAAATTAAACCAGGCATTGGAAATCATTCACCGTGTGGGCCAGCACCCTATATAGTGCCGTCTAAATGGCTTCCTTTTGCTCATCTATCAATGCCAAGATGGGGGAAATACCTAAGCTGCCTGATTCATGGAGAAACTACTTAAATGTATCAGCCCCTTAACAATGAGCAATGTGAGCCCGGAGTTGCACCTTTTAACACACCAATAACATGTGGAGCACGGCTTCATAGGAGCTTATCAGAGACCCCTCGGTCACTGGCTTCAAGGGAACCCATTTGTAAGGGGGAACAATGGCTTCAGTATGTAGCTGCCTAATTTCCAGAATGTATTACTGAGCTCAGAGGAGCAATGGAATCCTATTAAACTCTTATCTGCCGTGGGAGGGCTGAAACCAGCAGGGGAAGCCCGACTTGGCATAGACATGCCCAGAAAACACCAGGGCTGACCCCGGGAGGCGGGGCAACAGGCCCAGAGCGGGTAGGCAGGCGGGGCCCCAGGTGTGTGAGAATATGTGCATTAATAGGGCTCCGGTTTCCGGGATTACCTTAACATCAGTGAATAAAACTTGGCAATAAAACATCGGAGCTGCGTCTCAGACAGCCTGGTGTATTTCACTCATTATAACAGGAGGCAAGGAGCTTGAGGTGTTCCCATTTCTCCCCCTTTAATTACATTTCCTAAATTGCTGGCCAAGGTTTGGATAAAGGGAGAGACTTATGGCTCTGCTAATCGCCATCGCGGCTCCCGCCCCATCACTGTGGTGGCCCTGACTGTACCAGTTCCAATATTACTAATGTGAAATACTGTGGGCATTGCCTGCCGGGGCTCTGGTTTGTAAAAGGAGATGCAACCTCAGGGGAGAAATGGGCTCAGGTTCAGGAAAGAGGCTTGGGTTCTAGGACTGGCTTCGCCATCACCTCGCTGTGTGACCTTGGGCAAGTCACTTTTCCTCTCTGAGCCACACAAGCTTCCCTATTTCCCCCACATATCCATCTCGAGGCTGTTGGAATTGATTTGGGGTTGAGGCAGCCCTTGAATGTAC